TATAACGTCCAACTATAAAAACTCCAAAGAGCAAAAGATAACAGAGGGTCTTCCTTTCCTCTCAAGCCACAATCCGGTTAACCCTTATGCACAACTGCAGTAGGCCTCTCGAATACTCAGGGCACTTATAAATATATAAGGATTAGTTATATAGGACGATCACTTCTCACAGTCACAGTGGGGCTCCTTTCAGCTATATAAGTATGTAATCGCAGACAATCACATCCAGAGTCTGAACCACAACCATACCTGCAATCACATCAACGAGTCAAATCAACAGCCCACACACTACACGGAATCACCCCCAACCAGCTTTGACGCTCATACCCCTCGCTTTAGCTATGCAAGCCCCAAACCTCCTGTCCAACCAACCTTAATTAAACACTCAGCACCTTTGTTAAATGGTCATTCAATAAAAGTCCGGGTGAAACCTTAATAAAATAACGAAATCACCAGGGCTAAAGCCTTTTAGGTTGAGTGTGGAGGGAGAGTTGAAATTGAGTCGTAAACCGACGAATCCGCAACCGACCTGTTATTCAGTGATAACAGATGATGATCCTCAAAGGATCAAGCTGAATCTAATCCTGAACTTGAATCAGACGATCAAGAGGACCTGTAACGCACGACAGATCAATCCCCAAGCTAAGATCATAAGTGTATGGAGAATACAACTTCATAATACATCCTTACTCAAAATCTCCTTACTCAACTAACACTAAAACTAACACTAGATTCGTGGTCGCCACGGCCTGAAGCCCCAAGATAGCAATTTGCTTTACTCGATTTCGTCAAGAAACAAGTAAGATCTGTGTTTTTCTCGCCCCCACCATTTCTGCCATAGCCATCACTCCCCGCAACTTGTTCTTCTACTAACCCTTCCCCCACTATTCTATTAACAAAACTAACGTTACAAATGGCTTCACCTCGGCCTAAAACCTTAGTTCAGTCCTTCCTCTCACTCGATTCTACTAAGAATCGAGTGGACTATCCCCTCATGCGCCCGCCATATCTGTTTCCCGCTCTGCTCCGCCATCCTATCCTGCAAATGCACCCGGCGCGGTTCCATGTCCTGATTCATCCACCTTCACTGCTGCACCGAGCCATACTGCCCGACCAGCCCCGCTATCTGCTGCTCGCTCCGCTATCCACTTTTACCCCGCCGTCTCCATCGGCTCCGTATCTCGAAACTAGCGCCCGCGCCTGGCCTCACCTATCGGCGGACACGACACAGCGGTCTGACGGCAGCTCCGCTATGAGGAAACTTTCGGATGAACCAGCTATTAGCTGGTTCGACTAGCCTTTTGGGCTTATACCCGAAGTCCGACGAACGATGCATGCGCCAGCACCGCTGCGCGCGTCCACTGTCTTCCCTACCCAAAGTGCTCGGTCCTACAACCGGGCAGCGGAGCTGCTCAGTAGCTCCTACTTTCCTGAGGGGAACTCCGGCGGGGACCACGTGCCAGACGGTTCGATTAGTTTTTCGCTCCTATACCTAAGCCTGACAGCCGACTTTGCACGGCAGTACCGCTGCAAGCCCCTGCCGTGGCTCCTCTGTCCCGCTTAACCCATGGGGGTTCGCCACCACTTCGGACCGTCAGCAGGCAAGTTCCCACTCAGACAGCCTGTCGCGGAGTCGAAGGCAAAGGCCCTGCTGTAAAGCCTAGGCATGGCCTAGTGCGAATCCTGGTGGTAGTAGCAACCATTCAAATGATAACTTTGAAGGCCAAGCGGACAGAGATGCTCACACTCGAACCCTCTCATGACAACCCGCGGATGGTGGTGCCCCCCCGCGGGAATACCCACGCCATTCAGCCTTCCTTCTGCCTTGTGGGCTAAACACCCATCCATTTGCATGCACGTTGAACCCGGTACACACTGTCGATGACGGCACGATGGAGGGATCTCGCCAGCATCCTGAAGATGCGGACCCGTCAAAGGGCCTGTACTCAAGGTCCTCGACTGCCGTGACGGTCATTAGGTCCGGCGCCTCGTCCAAATCAATGGCCCGCCGGAGTATAAAAAAAAAAAAAAAAAAAAAAAAACGACACTAGAATAAATTATCTAAAAAACGTCACCACCAATCAGGTGCCGCTACTAACAAAACCGAGGGGGGATAGCCCCAAGGCCCTCAACCCTATCGGCTTCCTCCTCGATGCTCCACTGCCGCCGTGTCGATGCTCGCCGACCTTGATCCCCGAACCTTCGTAGTGTCAGTCCAATGTCGTAACCTATAGGGCTGAGCCCAAGCCTGAGACCCACGTCCGCAGAGTACCATACAAGACAGTGAGGCACAGCGCTTTGGGCCAACAAACCGGCTGCGCGGCTCCCAGTGCCCGCGCCGGCTTGCTTATACTATGCCATAATTGCCCCGCGCGCCATCCTACGACATCCCGCTTACCACACGAAATTGCGCCGTTATTGCCGATGCCGTCGTCGGGGTCGTTCTCCGCACGCGTGCTCGACTCGGTCAAATGTACCAATCAAAAGAAAATATTCTTAATTCCTGCTTAATCAAAAATAAATAAATAATAATATCACTAAGCAAAACGACCGAGGTCCGGGACGGCTTTACGATCAACAACAGAAAAGAATCACGCGCGCCTTAAACCTGCGCGCCCACGCACTCGCTATTGTGGTCAACCACCCAGTCAACGCAATTACAAACGCAGCCGCGCTTAGCGCGGTATACTTAAACTTTAAACCAAACAATTTTCTGTTACTTGCAAAAACCCAGGGCGGATACCCTTGTAAGGGTATTCGCACCGACAGCTTACCGGACCATATTAAGCGAAGTCCCCGTCGCTTCGCCAAATCAGAAGGCTATAAATTCATCCACACTCCAAATTCTGACGAGAAAGGAGTCAATCCGATTAGCCGACAAACACAGGGTAGAGGCCTCCATCAAAACATGCCTCCACAACTATATGCTGTCAGGTTTCTAACATGGGTCTCTCACTGCCCAAAAATTAGGACGCTGAGCGCATAAGTTCCAAGGACCTTCCCAATCGTCCTCTCCCCGGTCCTAGACAACCTTCAGCTTCTCGTTGGGTGTCCCTAGTCCTGGCAAAAACTAGGGACGCGGGCCTTAATCGAGACCTTTTGGAGGCACTTTCGCCTTCCTTCTCAAAATCTCTCGCAATCAAATACACATAAGTATATATGCATACTTAATACCCGCTCATCTCTTTCTGCAGTCCAGTAAAGAAAGGATAGGTCTACACCTTGGCCCACAATAGCCTGGCTGATCGGACCAGGACCACGGCCCACCGCATTGTTATTTAGCAACAGTACCCTCGTTGGTGACGCAACGATAGGTTTTCTCCTGATAAGCATTCAATCAGGATTTCCCCCAAAAATTCTCAACCATTACTATCCCGCGGAGTAATTTCACTGGGGCAGGCACCCCCCCTTAAACTCTTACCCACGCGGTCCCGCAGCCAGGTTGCGCCGGCTAGCAGCCATCCAATGGGATTACGCCCTAGAGGTACTAACTTCTTTTCCATTAGCTTGGCCTTTCTTCAATATGTCTTAGAATTAGCATCAGTGGTTAAAAGGGGACGTCGCAAAACAAAATCACTAGCCCACTGCGCGATACGCAGGGGTCCGAAGGCATTTACCGACCCTCCCTCAATAGGCATGGCATCCTTCGCACGCTTACAAACAAAATCACCGCTAAATCTACCAGGCCATAGCCCCTGACTTGATCAGAGCAAGCAACCACCCACCTTGAGACATCTCTCGCCCTGCACTCATTGCGACTTTCTCAAACATTCCAAAAAGTGACCCTTTTCGTCAGACTTTATCACTCATCAGGCAAGTTACGATGTCATAAATCAGTTTACTCACCTTTGAAGGTGAGTCTCCCAACAACCAAAAACATCTCCTTTGCCAAAAATCCAAAGGGCTCTCATCATAAACAAAACACCCTCTCTTCCAAAAATCACGAGGGGACTCGCCACAGAACAAAACACCCCCTCTTCAAAAAATCACGAGGGGTCTCGCCATAAAACAATACACTCCCTGTTCCAGAAATCACGAGGGGTCTCGCCATAAAACCAAACTTCCCCTCCTCAAAACTCGGGGGGGTCTCATGATAACACACAACATCACAAAACATCCTCTTTTCAAAAATCCAAGGGGGCTTATCATAAACAAAATCACTGAGAGACCATCTTATGGGTCCTCATCACAACTTAAGCAATCAATAATCAACATGGTAAGCATTTTGATTCTCCTGGGCTCATAATTCTTCAAAAATCCTCACAATTTTTCACAAACAGGCTGCGCTTCCTCCCCTTATACTCTGCCCTATCAGCTGCCCGGGGGCAGGTCGCACGAGTATACCGAAGAGTAGGCAGCTTTTGCTTACAATCATATTCACAGTACCCATGTCATATAAGATGTTTTTCTCACATTGTCCACACAAACTCATCATACATCAGAGTACAACCACACATGTGAGAGAGACAAGTCATCGTCACATATAAGAATGGTCCCTGAAATAAAACCTCATCATAATATACACTTAGGGAATAAAATGTCTCACACAGAAAGTGTCTCCAAATCATAGCTCACTCAACTCAAGCCACACCAAACCCACATTGACAACTACCCCTAGAATACATGTCAGATCTGTCTCTCAAAGGCCAGGGTGTAGACCACCTAAATATGTACATGCCTCATCTAAATCACCCTGATCCTCAAGACCCCAACTCAGTAGAACACTAGAGTTCAGATCTAGACTAGTAGCAATCATCAAAAGGTCCTCTAAGTCTAAGAGGATATCACACAGAACCTAAGTTGATGCCTCACAAGATACTCGCCCACTTACATAGACAAACCGACCCTACCTCCTCAACTCCTCCTGATTTTGCCTATATAACTGAGCCCTAACTCCATCTGCGGACTTCTCTACTATCCTACCCTGTCTATCATACATCTTACCCCCTGCCTCTGAGACCTTCCCTTCTGCCTTATCCTCAAGGAACTCAAGACAGTCCAGAGCCAGATGCATGCCCCTCTTGCATTAGAAGCATAACTTATCAACCTTCCTCTTAAACTTCTTCTTCCTGGGTTGAGGAGGTGGCGATGAAGGAGATCCTACCAAGGTACTGACCACCCCCTGCTGCTCTGATCGAGGGGTTGTGATACTAACAACCTCCTGCTGCTCCATCCCAGGAACCGGTCCCCCAGACCCAGATCCAGTAGCCCAATATCCCAGTCTGCTTCTCAAATCCCCTGTGGCTGGGACGTACTCAGGCGTGTCCAACCTCCGAGGTCTCCTTTCGAGTGTCTCTCCTGGCACTGTCATGGGTTGCTCCTCAATCTCCTCTGGTCCATACTCAGACGTGCCCAACCTTTGGAGCCCGCTCTCGATGACACCCTCCGCCTCAATCCCCATCTCTCTCTCAAGAGGCTCCTGTATCCTCTGCTCGGGTGAAAACAAACTCACCTCCTCCTGCATAGTATGCACCGCCTTAAGGAGCACACCCATGGATCCCTCTGCTGAGCCTTGAGCCGACTCACTGCTAGATGGTGGCTGCCTCTCCTCTACTGCCAAAGGTATAACTGAGCTCGTCGCCGCCACTGGCAGCGTCGCGAGCTCGGTAGGGGCTCTGAACTCGAATGCCTCCCTCTCCGCCTGTCTCTGGGCTCTCGCCTCCTCTGGCTCCAAGATAACCCTCCCCATAGGTGGCCCCTGGCGAGGCTATGCTGCAGATGGCTGTCCTGGCAATCCATGTCTTGGCTGTCTCTGCTCTCCCTGCCTGCTGCTCTCTGGCTTGTCCACCTTTCCCTAAGTTTCTTGCCTAAGGCTCTCAATGATAGCTGCCTGGCTGGCCACCAATGCCCTGAGTTCCTGGATTTCCATCTCCATAGCCTCCAGGCGTACTCCATGACTTGCTTCCTTTATCTTCTTCCCTGCCAGATCGCCCTCCAATTACAAGTGTCAGTCAAAAGTTGTTTTGGCCAGGAACTTGATTTTTCGATCCAATCTCTCTTCCGCCTTTCTTGCTACCCCAAACTCGGCTCTGACTGGCGAAGGAAGTTCCTCTCCTCTCTGCTCCCAGAAGTCCCTCCACATCTCAGGGATCTCCGGGACCCTAGCTGGCGCACTGGGTGGCTGACCTGGGAGTGCTCCTGCTGCCTCCGATGTCTGCCTCTCCTGCTGCTGCTCCGGAAGCTCCCCCGCTGCCTCCAACCTCTGCCTCTCTTGCCATATCTCATCTATCCTCCTGGTTCTTCTCGCCCTCTTTTCCTCTGTTGTCTCCCTAGCTGGCACCCTTTCCCTCGTGCGGAGGTCGACCCTCTTCGGGATCTTTGCCTCCATCTCCTTCTCAGGCTGGCACGGCTCCTAGCGCAGCTCTGCAGGTGCTGTCTCTTCCAGGTCAGGGTGCTCCAGGGCATGGGCTACTAGGTGCCTGTCAATCAGGGTCAAGGCTTCTCTCCTTACAGCTGCCCTCTCTCTCCTCCTTTCTGCCCTTCCTTCTGGCGAAGGAGCCTTTTTTGATGAAGGCAATAGGGCCTCCTCTCTCTGCAACCTCTCCCCTGCCTGGTGAGTGCCCCCTGGTGCATCCCCGAGTCTCAAACCCACCGCTGGCGTCTGTGGGGGCGTGTCCTCTCCAACCTCTATCACTTCCCTCCCTGCACGTCTCCCCTCATCGCCCAACCCTCTCTCTCGCTGAGTATCCTGGACCTCCTCCCGTGGCACCTCCTCTCGTGGCACCTCCTCTCGTGGTACCTCCTCTCGTGGTACCTCCTCCTGTGGTACCTCCTCTCGTGGCACCTCCGCTCGTGGTGGTACCTCCTCTCGTGGTACCTCCTCTGCCTGCTCTCCATGCTCTTCACCCCGAGGCGACACCCTCCACCGAGAGATATCCAAATGCGTCTCCAACTCCCTCAATGGCCCCTCAGATGTTGGCGGCTCCTCCTGTGTGCGTGTTGGCGACCTCCTCAATCCACCCTCGGTAAACCGATGGAACTCCACAAGTCCCAACCCACACTCAGGGTATGCCCCTCGCTCCTCAGCCTCTGGCTCCGGCTCCGGTTCCTCTTCTCTCCTGGCTAGGGCCTTCCGTCCTTCTCGAGATGGTCTCGCCTCTCTGGGCTCAGGGTCCCTCTGCCTCTGACTCCTCTGACGGCTCTCAATTCTGGGCTGAGGGGGTTCTGGCCGTCGAAAGGCCTCTCTCAGATGTGCCCTGCAACTCTCCTAGTCCCGGGTCATGCCTCTAACCTGCCTAGCCAGTGGTCTTTCCGCCTTCCTTGTCCAGAGTGGTAATATCTGGATCCAATCGTCTCTCGATATACCCTGCCCTTGCATGAACCACTCAAACGCGGGGATGAAGTCTAACGCATCTCGAATCTCTAGGCGGATCAGCCTGCCATCAGGTCCCACAGGCGAGGGTCGCAGCTCCTGCATCCTCAACTCCACCTCTGACCTCGTCGTCGCCTCTCTACGGATCCGTGCGACGGGCTCTTCAAATCTGCCGACTCACCTCAGCCTCTCAATCCCCTGGATCACAGTCCAACCCATACGCCGCGCATGCTCCCAGAAGCTGTCTAGGAATAGCTCGATGTCGCCACCGTCGTACTCTGGAGTGCTCTCTCGATGGCGAGACCCATGTCGCTCATATCCTCCTGATGCGCCCAACGGTCTCTGAGGCAGCCGTGTCCCCTTCCCTCCTCTTGGCATGGCTGTCTTCGTAAAGTTAGACCTGCACGACAGGCGAAGGAGACAACAGACACACATTGGGGTAAGCCAACAGGTGATAATCAAGCAAGTTCAGACCAAACCACACTCATACAGCATGCATCCTACCTAACCTACACACCCTATTACTTCTATTCTAAAGGCAGTCAGGTCATCTCTCTTACCTCTTCTCTCACCACAAATTTCTTCAGTCGTGTTCCAGATACCCAATCCTTCCACTCAGTCTCATTTAGCTCCTCAATCTGGTACGCTCCGAAGTCTCCGACCCGTGCGATCCGGTAGGGACCTAACCACCTCTTATCGAGTTTCCTGGACCACAGCTTTTCCAAAGATGAATCATAGAGGAGCACGACGTCCCCAACTGCCAAAGGTACTTTCCTCACCCGTGCAGACTGATCCCATCGAGTCTTATCATCCATACGGCTTTTTGCCACCTGATAAGACGCCTCCTGGATCCTTTCTTCTATCGCCCTTATCTGTCGTGCCCGGATATCGAGCAACTCTTCAAATGACAGGCTAACTTCCAGATCTTGGCGCCTCCATGTCTTGAGAAAGCTTTCGATATGGAAGGTGGCGTGCCTTCCATACCACAGCGTCGCCAGTGCGTACTTGGTGGATCTTTTTACTGTAATGTTCTTGACAAAGAACGTCGCCCTTAGGTATCTTGGCCATTGATCAGGCCTACCTTCGGTCCACTTAGCCAGAAGGCTCGTAATGGTACTATGTCCTCTCTCCACGGGAGCATTTGACTGGGGGTGCGCGGCCGTGGTGTAGTTGGCTGCTACACCATACCTTGATAACAATTCTTGCACCTCCTGACAGGTAAACTCCGATCCCCTGTCCATTACGAATTCCTTGACGAAAGGATAGCGTAGATAGTACTCCTCGATGCAGCTTACCAGGACTGACCCGGTCTTTGTGCGAATAGCACGCCCGTCTACGAAGTCGGACAGGTTATCGCGCGCATCGAAGATATAGTTATAGCCCTGATCCCCAAGCGGCATAAAAAGTAGATCGAGATGCACTACAGCCCCCACCTCTCGCTCTAGCCTTGGATGCAGCGGCTCTCCTTGACTTAAACGGGATATTTCCTGGCAAGGTACGCAAGATCGACAGAATTTCCCGACCATGTCCATCATCCCATCCCAGTAGTACAGCTCACTTATCTTGGCATACGTGGCTTGTACCCCTCGATGCCCTCCTGCAATGCCATCGTGAAGCGCTGCTACGACATCGATTTGACAATTCCTACCGCAGACGACTCTCCTGGGATTCCCCACTTCTCTTCTCACGAAAAGGTGGTCGTCTCGCACTAAGTAGCATTGTAGCATCCTCTGAGCCCTATCGCTTGCATCCCTTAGCCGCATTTCGCAGGACAAAAGAAGTCCCAGCTCTAGGTAGATCCCATCATACTCCTCTGCACGAAAGGCCTCCTTAATCTCCCCCTCCTCGAACTCGTCATCCTGGCTCTCGGGCACTTCGTCCACATTCCCTGCCGAGTTCAACGAGCCTGATTGGTCGAGGCTTTCCTGCAACAACGTGTTGACAAGAAGGTACATTCCTCCCATCAGGTCCTCATGCCGTTCTACCTGGCCTGGTCCCTCCTCGATCGTCCTCGTGTCCTCCACCAGACTATGCGAGCTGGTCATCGCTAACTCCGTCATCCACTGAACATCCTTATCACCCCAGGGATCCTCTTCTTCAAAGGGTTTGAGGACTAGCTCGACCCTCCTTTCATACCCATTCGGTGCTTGCCAGATAGGATAGCCTACACAGCTGGGCACTCGCGGTAACCATTTGTTGATGTGGAGACGAACATCTTCTTCCTGATCCAGAAATCAATCAACTGGGGGCGTATTCTCCACCGCCTCCCCTTCCTGTTTATCCGAGTTGATCCGACTCAGCCCGTCCGCCCGATTCTTACTACCAGGAATCCGTTCCAATTCGAAATTGAACATCCAGATGTATGTCAGCCATCTGGCAACCGTCGGATCCGATGGAACGTTATTCCTTAGAGTGTAGGTCAGGGCGGTCGGATCTACTCTCAAAATAAACCTCATGCCGAAGATGTAGTTCCGGAAGATTCGCAGACAGTGGAGGATGGCAAGGGTCTCCCTCTTGAACTGAGAGTAGTTCCTCTCGGTCGTACAGAGAGTCCGACTCTCAAATCTCAAGGGTCTTTCCTTTCCCTCTATGTCTGCATGTATTAGAACTCCTCCTAAGGCAGTTGGCCCCGCATCTGTTTCGACAATGAAGGGTTGTGTTTCTGTGGCATCATAATCTGGCGCTCCTAACACCAACCCTCCTTCTCGAAATTCCTCCTTCATTCTGGCCACCACCTCTTCTTGCTCTTCACCCCAAACCCATTCCTGATCTAGACGGACTAGCTTCCTCAGGTGTTCAGTCTTAGCGGCAAAGTTCTTAACGAAGGCCATCCAAAATCCACACGTACCAAGGAAGCTCCTGACATAAGTTATTGAGTGGAACGAAACCGGCCACTCAGTAATCTTGTTTGTCTTCTTCACATCCGGCCTTCGGCCCTTCTCGCTGCAGACGAACCCCAAAATAGTTGCTTCCCTCATGCAGTGTCTGGATTTGGCCCCGTTCGTCGTGAGGTTATGCTCCTCGAGCAGGCTCAGGAATTTTCGAGGTCCTGGATATGCTTCCAGACAAAGCGCCTCACCCCTGGCGAGACTTCGTCGCTTTCCTTCACTGCCGGCCCCTTCACCGCCAAGTCATCGATGTATGGCTGTGTGATATGGGGGTTGACTGACTGCATAGCCCGAATCATGGCCCGTTGGACTATTGCTACCTCATTGGTCCACCCTTGTGGGACCACGTTCATGTGGATTAGCCCTCGTGGCGTGTGCATAGCCGTCACAGGCCTGTCCGACGGGTAGACTGGGAACTTATCATATCCTGAGTAAAGGTTTATAAGTGAGATTATAGGCCTTCCAGCGCAGGATTCTGATAGCGCGTCTGCATTGGGCAACCCTCCAGCATCCCGCACGGTCACCACATTCAGTCTTTGCAAATCTTGCACCCACCGCAGCGTCTCATTAGGCTTGATAAAGCAGAACCACGGGGACGCATACAGTCCACTCGAATAGTCGGCGACGTGCGTGCGTATTTTGTCGTCGAGGTAATCCACCACTTTCTTTTCCTCGTCAGGATTGGGATATCGCGCCCCTCTCATGTTCCAAGGTTCGTGTGGCACGGTATGGATGCGTATCATAGGTATCTTGTCCACATCCAGCTTGCCACGCTCCTCGTCACTAAACGCATAGGTGCGATGCCTCCTCTTCATCAACTCCACCATCAACGTTCGCTCCTGAGGCAGTAGGAAGTCGGGCTCCCCTATAATTAACTTCCCCTCGTTCCCTTCGTTGATACGACATGGCCCTGCTAGAGCACTCTCCCTCATTCGCTGTATCAACCCTCGTTCCCTCTTGTAGTATGCTTCCTCATCTTCTGTAACGAGGACGGGAACCGGGCAGCACTTCTTATTTACCGTCGTGTACCGCCTTTGGGAACCCTGCTTGAGCTGCCCCCTAAAAAAAGGCCGACTCACAGATTGCGCCTGTGCTGATGAGGGGCTCCTCCCGCCGCCCGGAAGCTGATATACCAGCTCCAACCTTCTTGCCTCGGGGCATTCAAGAACTTGCTCCCTCAAAGTTGTGTTATTTACTTCTTCTCTTTCATGTACACAACTTTTGTACCACAATACCCATAAGATGGTTTTCTGTCCTAACTCAAAAAAATTCATCTGGAATTCTGAAAGTTGTGTTTCCACTGGTACCCATTGACCCAAGAGAATGGCTTTCCAATCCCATGGCCAGTCAATTTCTGTCAATCCCCTCCATATACAGTCCCATCTTCTCCAAAGTAGGACCTTACCTGGGCATTGAATGAACACATGTTCAATTGTCTCCCTTATCTTCTTATGGGGGAAAACAGATAGACATGCTTTGCACCATGGATGTGCCAGACCTCGTTGTTCCCAATTGGTATGATCAATGAGCCAATCATTAGTTGGTAAACAACGATGAAGAATTTGTCATTGTAAGGAGGAAAATCTGGCTGGTCTTTTTTTAAGTTTATTGAAAAAATTTATGTTTTTGATGCTTTGTGCGTCAATATTCAGATGTTTGGTCCATCGGTCTCTTATTACTGACGGCACATCCACCCTTGGTCTTAACAAAAGATATATTGCTTTCACCGTTAGGGATTGTAGAGTGCATGGTTTACTCCTTTTCCCCGTTTGCCATACCCATTCGTCTGGATCTATGGGAAGGTCCGGAATTGGGCATTGTGGTTGAAACACTTTCCATCCAGAGGTTGCTGATATAAAAATAACTTTAATTCTGAACATTTCCGTGAAAGGAAAGAACTCAACTTGATTGGTTGATGAAGGTCGGAGTAAGTGCTTTGTTGTCATTGTGAACAGGGCCGTTAAGGCTCCTTCTTCTAATAGACTCATTATTTGTCCTACCTGCCAACATGATGGTTCGTGTGTAATCATTACAAAGTCTCCTTCCTGAAATTTTACTCCTTTTCTTAATTCTCTAACCCATGCCAGTGGGATAGAACAAATGATGTAGTCCAGATTTTGATCTAATCTGTGCGCGTATGTAATTGTTTTCTTAAGTTGATGAGAAGACTTCCACTCTTTTTTTTCCAGATCCCAAATGTCTTTAACCCGTATTACTTTTTTTTTCACCCACTGAGACCAGGGAGGAGTAGAACTATTGTACACACAACCATTAACRTCCGTTATCCTTTTATTCCCAAATAGAGGTTGCCTCATGATTTCTTCAAAGCATATGGTTGTGGTTTTATTAGTAAGAGGTAGCTTTCTCCATGTCCTTAGTAGGGATACCCATAGGTTATCTAGGAGTAGATCCCTATGGGCTGCTCCTCTTTCCCCTTCTAGTCTTGAGTGAGTAGAAGAACGAGGGATGTTCCAAAATAAGTTCTCTACCCAAGTAAGGGGCTGTACTTCAGGTGGAGCTATTGGTGCCAGTTTCCTAATTTGTTGTAGAGCCAAAGGTTGCCAAGGTTTGTCAATTCCTAAAATGAGATCAATCATCCATTGTAGTGACAAGGCTTGACATTGTAGGGTAGGGTCCAGGATTCCTAACCCTCCCCTCGATTTTGGTTGAATGAGGATAGACCATGCTACTCTAGGAATAACTCTCTCTAGCTCATGATTCCCTCTCCAGAGAAAGGTCGTCACCTGTTTTTGAAGGTGTTTGATTCGTGGTTTACTAATCGCCCAGATTGCTGATTTGTACCATATTGAAGCAAAAACCACATTATTTATTACTAGTGATCTACCACAAAGTGAAGTGTGTTGATTCTTCCATAGTTTCATTTTTTGTATCGCAGGATTTCAAATCCAGTCATCATTGGATATAGGTTTTCCAAGGGCAGACAAAGATACTCCCAAAACTCTCAGTGGGGTGCATGGAATTTCCCTATCAGACCAGGACGGAACGCGTATGCGAGTGGGATATCGAACAGGCTTTGAGCACGATCCCTCGCTCACCCCGACTCCCCCACTCTCAGACGCGCCACGTCGTTGCTGAACCTGGGATAGTCATTATCATGACTAATTACCCTTCCCATCGCCTCGTAATCCCCTTCCACTGCCTTACAGTAGTCCCCTGGTGCGTGATCGGCCYATACTGGCCACGAACCCCRTGCTCCAAGTGTCGGTAGGACCGCGCCTACCGTGCGGCGGGATTCGCCTGTCGAACCCAAACTGAGGCCAACCAACGATTGCACAACCTTAAACTGAGACCAGCCTCGTCGAACTCAGAGATCTGTCACGAATGACGCTAGTGGTTGATCGCCCAACGCGACACACACAGCATCCCGACGGTCCGTCAGATAAGGCACCGACCGAGACGAGCACGCACCCACAGGAGGTAGCCTGGTCTCCTGAAGTCCAAAACGCTCGGGATTACCAACTTGCGCAACTACCTCTCACTGCCCTCAGCTTGCCGCAAGAGATCTTGGTTCTGACCTGGGACTCTGCCACACTTTCCTAAAATCCTTGACACACCCCTTTTCGCACTTCCCGGCCCCCATCCCACTCCGATCAGGAAGTCACGCTGGGCGTGAGGTTGGTATCGGAGCCGACACGTGTCAAGACTGAGGATTGAGAAGTGGCCCGGCTCCTCCAATCAGCGAACCTGGCGAGTCCTACACGGGGTCGAGCTAGACAGAGAAACGTGCGAGTGCGCGATCCGATAGGAACTAGAGGTCGCCCCGCAGGGAGACAGGCGGGCGGTATGAACGCTAACCAAGCGCAAGGTGGGGTGAACCCACAGAATCTGGCTCCCCCACAACCCCCACGTGCTCGAGCAMTTACAGCCCCCCCCGATCTGTACCTATTCAACCCCGCACATCACCTAGTCGGACCATGGCTTGCATGCTCCGAGCGCAACAATACGACAATGGCGAAGCCAGGATTAACGTCCCCGCTCGATTGGGCGGAGATTCGGAGACGCACACAATTAGTTCAACACATACACATGGGTCGACCTCCCGACGTTTGAAAGAGACTTCCTACACCGATTCGACTACATTCACCCTGAGCAGGCATTCTTCCTGATCAACGATCGGGTGCAAAAACCGCTCGAATCCGTGGAAGAATACTGAAGTAGATTCTATCGGTTTTTTATTAAGTCCCAGAGGGAAGAAACAGACGGTAGGGAGTTTTTCATCGACAGACTCCGAAGT